AGCAGCTCGTGCAGGAGGCTGAGCGGAACAACGCCCTCCTGGCCACCAGGCCTGTCGGCAAGGACGACGCCAACGAGGCCACGCTGCGCCAATTCCGTCGCCTGGTCGACAAGGACAAGGTCAGGCAGGCCGTCCGGTTCCTGACCGAGCGGGGAGGTGGAGGCACCCTGGACCCCAACGACCTGGCTGAGGCCGACCCTGCGGGCCGCACCATTCGGGAGGTCCTCGAGTCGAAGCACCCTGCCCAGAGTGACCCTGACCCGTCCTGCTTCCTTGACCGGCCCCTCCCTCCCCTCACCCAGGTCGAGATCACCTCCAACCACATCGAGCGGGCGGCAAGGGCAACGAAGGAGGCGCCGGATCAGTTGGTGGCGAGTCATCGGTGTGGAAGCAACTCCTTCTCAAGGGTGGCGCGGCAAGTGCGGAGCTGCGCAGTGAGTTAGCGGCCATGGCCTCCCACATCGCCAACGAGGACGTGCCCTGGGAGCGGCTGCAGGCCCTGCGCGCATGTCGGCTTATCGGTCTGGACAAGCAACCGAAGGTGCGGCCCATCGGGATCGGGGAGGTCCTGATGCGCATCATGGGCAAGGCGATAGCCAAGGCAGTCGGGGTGGATGCGGAGATTGTGTGCGGTGCGGACCAGCTGTGTGCCGGGCTGAAGGGGGGCGTGGAGGGTGCCATTCATACGGTGTCCGGCGAGTTCGACTCAGGGGGCGTGGAGTGCGCGATCCTGGTGGATGCGACGAACGTCTTCAACACGATGAATCGCCCTGCCGCCCTGTGGAACGTCCGCATTTTGTGGCCTCGGTGCTCTCGCTTCCTGTTCAACACCTATCGTGGCCATGCGGCCCTCTATATGCGCGACCAATCCGCGCCGCTGTGGAGCCAAGGAGGGACCACACAAGGCGACCCCTTGGCCTCCCTCTTTTACTCTGTGGCCACCCTTCCGCTTGTGTGGGAGATGAAGCGGCCAGCAGATGAGGGCCCTCAGGCATGGTTTGCCGACGACTCCGCCAAGGTGAGAGGCCTCCAGCCGGTGCGCGAGTGGTGGGATGAGCTGCAGCGGAGAGGGCCACTGAGGGACTACCACCCCAACGGCAAGAAGAGCAAGCTGGTGGTGCGGGCGGGTTGCAAGGAGCGGGCGCGGGAGGTGTTTGGCGATACCGACGTGGAGATTGTGAGTGGTGCTCGATATATGGGGGGATTTGTGGGGACCGCGGAGGGCAAGCGGGCCTACGCCGCCGAGAAGGTGGAAGAGTGGCAGCGGTGTGTCAACCGGAAGGCGGATGCAGCGGCCAAGTACCCGCAGGCAGCTTGCACAGCACTCACAACGTCTCTGCAGGCCGAGTGGGATTTCTTTATGCGGGTGATGCCTGAGGAGCGGGCGACATTCCAGCCTCTGCGAGATGCCCTCACCCACTACCTCACCCAGCTCTCCAGCCATGCGGTGACCGCCACTGAGGCCCAGCTGATGATGCTGCCTGCGCGTCATGGGGGGATAGGGGTGAGGGACCCGATGGAGCGAGTGGCGGCGGCATACGAGACGTCCACCAAGGGCACCTCCCTGCTGGTGTCCACCTTCCAGAACGGCGACCCAACCGACGGCCCTCCATTCAACCCCTTCCAGCACCGTGTTGACATGCAGCAAGCGGTCCAGGAGGGGCGGCGGGCGACCGATGAGGCAGCCAAGGAGCGCTTCGAGGACGGGCTCTAGCAGCTGCCCCCAGAGAGACGGCGGGCGGTCCACCGGGCGATCGAGGCCAAGACGGCCGGGTGGGTGACTTGCCGGCCTGACGCGGAGGACCACATCGACCTGACGCCTGACGAGCTCCGCGACAACATGGCCATGCGGTACGCCTATGAACCTCCCAAGATGCCCACGCACTGCGACGGCTGCGGGGCTGCATACTCGCTCGACCACGCCCTCAACTGTGGGGTGGGTGGGTTGGTGATTTGGCGGCACAACAAGGTGGTGGACGTGCTGTGCGACCTTTCTGCCAAGGCTTGGGGCGAGTCGGTGGTCAGGAAGGAGGTGGTGATCGTGGAGCCCGAGGAGGGGGAGAAGGGGGTGCGGACGGACATGGTGGTGAGAGGGGTGTGGGAGAGGCAGAAGCACGTGTCGTTCGACGTATGCGTGATGAACGCTGACGCACCGTCCTACCGCAAGCAATCCACCGCCTCCATCCTCAAGAACAAGGCCAAGACCAAAAAGGCCCACCACAGCCGTGTGTGCGAGGACAGGTCCATCCACTTCACCCCCTTGTGCGTCACGGTGGATGGTGTGTGGGGCAGAGAGGCCAACGGTTTTTTCAGCCGCCTGGTTGAGAAGCTCCGCACCAAGGCTGCGTGGGCAGACAAGTCGTATGGCCAGGTGATGGGGTGGGTTCGTGCTCGTCTGTCTGTTGCGTTGGCGTGTAGTGCGAGTATGTGTGTACGTGGTGGGCGGCGCCGCTGGAAGATACGCCAGGCGGGCGCTGAGGATGGTGCTGGCATGTTTGTCGCATGATTGAGGGTTGGTCGATGTTGACGCAGTTCGTTTCATGAGAGACCGACAGACTCTGCCTGCCGTTGCGCTATGAGTTAATGTATGTCACACACCCGTCTCCCTGATCTCCCTCCATGATCTTCTTTCCCCGCAGGGCTCATTTAGCTCGATGGGGAACAAGTGCTGCTCATTCTGGACCGACCCCGACCCGGAACCGGACTGTCATTTCGAGCCCAGTGAGTTTTGCAATGACTGGAAATAGGTGCTCTGATGAACGGCCTTCGGCTGAATGCAGGCCTTCCGGTTGACGAGAGGAATCTTGTGTTTCACAACCCCACGGTGCCTTCATTCCCGACACACAGTAAGCGATGACAGCGAGCCAGCCAACCGACCTTGTCCTCGCCGTCCCTCCACACTCGCCTGTTGCAGGGACCGGAGGTGGCTTTGGTCGCGAACCGGGGCTGGGTTTGTACGGTGAGCAACAACCAAAGCAAAGACTGTTTGCTAGCTTGCTGTGCCTCCAGGACCCCCAAGGCGCCCTGAGATGTCAGCCCTCGGTGGCAGGACTGGGGTGCCAACCTTTGGCAGCGGTAAGCGTTGCTCGTGTGCAGGCGGCTTTGGATGTCATGCCGTATGTGCACCATTGCAGGCTATGGGTTTGTGACGGATTGCAGCTATGGGTTTGTGACGCATACGGTTGGGATGCCTCCGCAGGTGGACAAACAGCAAACGACCAAGAGTAAGGGAAGACGAGAGACGGGGGGATGGGAAGACAGACGGAAGGCCATTCTTTGTCTTGCCTTTCTATCGTGTGTACAGCAATGTTCGATGGGGCCGAGGCGGCAAAGACAGACAGCCGCTCGCCCAACGTTGGCTCAGGTGAGCGCCGCGAATGGTTGGTCGACATGCCCGGCGTCGCAGACAAGCAGCGGTGCGGTCTTGTTGGCGAAGACAAGCAGCAGCCGGACAAGCAGCAGCCGGACAAGCAGCAGCCGGACAAGCAGCAGCCGTCGAAGACAAATAGTAAGGGAAGACGAAAGACTGGTCATTCATTCGGATCCCTGTGTGTCTCTTCCTTTTATGTGTCCAGCAACTGAACAAGGGAGCCATTCGCATGGGGGTAATGATTCTGGCTGGCTTTAATTGAATTCGATATTTGATGTCTCTCTATCGTTGCAGTGGATTTGCGGCCGCGAGTTCGCGTGCTTGGGGTCAGAGGCGTGGCGGAGTCGCTGCAGAACAACCCCATACTGAACGCATTCGCACAAGAAGGCGGTAAGCCGGCCAGCCCACACATCTCTCAACGCGTCTACCGCCGTTTTGTCCTCGATCGATCGCATCAGACATGGAGAAGTTGACACGAGAGGTCGAGAACAAAATGAAAAACATGCCACTCCCGGCCTGCCTGGACGGATATGTGCGTGAGGATGGAGACAGCGAGGAGCAAGGTGAGAAGAGGTGCACCTGTGCACGCACACACGGAGACGTCTGCATGTCTCACGACCACAGAGGCTGACTCGGCGAGGGAGATAAACTACAGCGACGGGACCGGAAGGCAATTGAAGGTGGGTCAAGCGGAAACGTGGAGAGGCATCGGCGTCCTGTGTTAATATGTATGTGTATGCCTTGATATGTGCAGATCGCAATCAGGCCGTGAAGAGGCTTACAGGGATCACGATGTTTTGCATAGGGATCAGATACGTGTGCTCGTATGAGGTATGTACAAGAGGCCCTGCATAGGTGCTCCGTGATCATGAACATGTCGTGTGTTGACGTAAGCATGATGTGCTGTCAAGCCGATATACAACACATCCAACAATGAGCACATTCGACTGACGGCCGGTCTTGCCCTTCCGGCAAGTCTCATCGCTCCATCGCACCAAACCATGTCCAACCACTGCAGACACGCATAAAAGTCAGACGGCCATCCTTGTTCTGCATGTCTCCCTCCCTCCCTCTCACCTTGTGCCATTGGTACTTTCATTCAAGGGGGTGTTGCTCGAGCGCACCATCATCACAAGCCCCCAGCAGCAGCAGCAGGCGGCTGCCCCTGACACAGTCGTGCGGACTTCATTCACGCGTGAGCATGCGTTGAGGGCCCCGAGTGTGGGTTGGCAGCATGGCAGCAGTATGCGTGTATGCTCTCTATGAGTCGTGAGTGGCTGTGAGGGTGTGATTGACCTATGGATGGATGGGCACATATGTTTGTAGTTTAGAGAGACAATCCGTGTCTGTATGCCACACGGCAGGAGCCCTTCGATTCATCCATTGAGTGGTCACAGCTCATGAGTGCACCAACAGCACTGCCAGCCCCACCACAAAGCACACACACGCCATAGTGTAGCGCATCACGACATCACACCACTCCGCCGCTGTCTTGTCCGTCTGCACTGCCGCAGCCGCGTGAGCATAGTCGAGCAACTCACTCACACGCAAGCCGTGATCACTCCTTTGGCCATTCGGCCGCTGCTGCTGCTGTGGTGTGGGGCTGGTCGATGCTGCGATTGCTTGGTCGAAGGACTGCTCCCACGATGTTGATGTGCCGTCCTGTGTGTCTGTGTCGTCATCAGCCATGGGAAACACCTCGGGATGCCGCACGTGAGAAGACACACTCGCACTCGCACTCGCACTCGCAGCAGCAGACTGACACAAAGACAGAGACAGCGAGACGCATACACGAAGGTGTGTGGTTGTGACCTGACCTCCTTGAGCTTCGACAACTGGAGGGTGAGCTCTTCTGTCGTGTCCTTTTCACGGCTCAGCTCGCGAGACAGCGCGTCTCTCTCTGCCTGCACACATCAACCAAGAAGGAAGTCACGACCTCTCACACACATGACGCTGCCATGTCTCTGCTGCGTGTGTCTGGTGATTGATTCATTCTGGCTGGCTGACTGCGATCCGTGAGAGTTCGCCTTGGGCCTCTGACAAGAGGGCACTGTACTCACGCTCAACGCTAAAGACACAGACAGACAGTCATTTGGTTGGTGTGAGCTCTGGCTGTCTGCCTGCCTGTCTATCTTTGTTTCTGTCTCGGCCTCGTATGTGTCGAGCTGCGCTCTGAGGGCCTTGTTCTCGTCCAGCAAGTACGACAGGAAGCAGCCGGTGTCCTCCGACACACGATGGTCTGTGTCGATGGGCGAGTCCTCTCCGTCTGTTGGCTGCTCTGTGTCGGTGAGGTGCGAGAGTGAGGGTGAGGGTGAGGGGGGCTCATCGACCATTGCTGGCTCGGCGACGAGAGATGGCGACGTGACGGCTGCTGTGGTCTGAGGCGATGTCTTGCCACTCCGATCCCCCTGCACATATATACGCATACATAAAGTGACCAGCCGAACATCGTTCATTTGTGTTTGTGTCTGTGTTTGTCTGTGCCAATCTCACCGGCAGAAGGTGTTGAATGGTTTGTCCTTGCCTTTGCTTTGTTTGGCAGGTGGTGGCGAGATGGTCGACGGGAGATGCCTGGTGGTGCGAGACACACGCTGAGGCTGCCGCGACATGATCGATGCCTGTCTCTCCAGCTGTTGGTTGATTCACTCTTTTTGGTTGACATCTGTTATGTATACGTATGTATACGTGTTTGTGTGCTCATACAGTTGTCGGTCATTCGACACAACAGCAGGACTGGTCATGGCCGTTGAAATGAAAGGTGTCCGTCACTGAACACATGAGTGTGAAGGAGGATGCCCGTCCCATGCATGGATGTGTGAGTCGATGATGGAAGGAATAAACGGAACAACAGTCTCCCATCGTCACTCGGCCACCCCGCCAATCTTCCCCACGTCGTCCAGATAGCAGGTGGGGCGCACCTGCACACACACATACGCAGACAGAAAGAGAGAGAGGTCATGACGCGCAATCAACGACGGCAATGTGTGTACGGATCTACCTTACCTTCCATTTGGCGGCTTGTTCGAGCGTGGTGGCGCCCGACAGCACAAAGATGGATCGGATGCCGTAGTCTTCGGCGGCCTGCATATCTGCTCAAACAAAAAGGCAAGACGGGAAAAGATGAAGAGACGTGGAGTTGGGCAGTTCTTTGCATTTGTGTAGTGCAGTGCATATGTACCAGTGGCGGGCACGTCGCCGACCATCGCGAGGTTGTCTTTGCCCAACTTGAGACTCTTGGCTGCCGGCTGGAGCTTCAGCTTCTTGTGGGCTGCATTCATCCATCCACACACGCAACAAAACCCAGGCAATCCAGTGGAGCTCCGTCATGCTTGCGTGCCTCCCTCCCTCCCTCACTCACTCGCTCACCCTCTTCGAGGATGATGGGGAGCCCGCCGCCCTTGCCGGTGTTGACAATCTTGCCGAACGGGAATGTGGCGAACTTGAAGAAATGTTCAAAGGCGCCACAGCTGGGCACATGCATGATGACGTCGCCGTGGGGCTGGTCGGATGCAAGCGGGTCGATGCATGCGTTGACGAGGGTCGCCTTGTTCAGCATCAGCTGCGTTATGCGCGACAGCAGGTGGTAGCTCCAGTCGGAGTACCCTGAATCAGAAGCGCGCACAGACGGGTGCATGGCCTACAATATGGGCGACTGGGTGTGTGTACGTGCCCGATTCGTGTGTGACAGGGTCCTCCTTGAGTTTGTCGTTGGGTGTGTCGCTGCACAGGGCGACGAAAACCTTGTCCTCGTTCTTCTGGGCGCACGACGCGAACCGGTAGAAGTCCTCGTCGGGAAGGTTGGTCCGAATCTCCCAGGTGCTGTAAAGCTCGGGCTTGACGGTCTTCTTGATTTGGCTGAACGCACAGGGTGAATGTACATCCATGAACGAATGAGCGGCCGCCTCAAGTAGCTCCGTTGCTTGCTGACTTACATGAAGCACGAGTCTGTAGTGTCCTTGTAGTGGCTGGCACCGCCGACCACCCAGATCTTGGCCCCCTTTGGTGCGTGACGCTCAAGATAAACGCCGAGGCTCTGGGCTGCCGTGTACACGTGGACCAGGCCAACTTGGGGGGTCATCTTGTACTTCTTGCTGTCGGACTTAGCTTGGACACCCTCGGGGCCCTTTTCCCTGCAGAAAGCGGGATTGCGTGGGGATCGGTGGATGCCAAACAGTTGCCTGTGGCCTTTTTGTCTCACTGGGAGTTGGTGACGAATGCGTACGCCTTGTTCGTATCGCAACCTGCACGCCACACCGATTCAGACTGATCCATCACTTGATGCCAGCTTTATGCACCATCCATCCATCCCACCCCTTCCCGTCATCCGTACCAGCTGTAGAATTCCTGTGCGCCCGGCAAAAGACGGCCTGTGAGAAAAAACGTGCATGCAGACATCATCTGTTGCAGTGCAGATGCGATGGTAAGCCTTCTGTGTGTGGATCTTGTTCCATACCCGGCTCGTACATGGTGCCGTCTAGGTCGATGAGGTAGCCTTCCAGACCAGCAAGGTGCTTCTTGGTGCACTTCTCGATGGACCCGCTGCTCCCAGCTGCCGTTGCACCACTGGGGCCTTGTGTGGCGCCTGTGTTGATGGCCACCGACACGTCGACGGTGAGCCCCGGACCGACATCCTTGTGAACCGTGGTGATGTTGCCGGCGGCTTTGTGCAGCGAAACCTCATGCGTACCGACACGAGAAACCACCTCACAGACCCCACTTTAGCTGAGGACGGACAACATGAAAAACAAGATGAGAAAAGCCATTATCAAGCAGGGAAGGCAGGCAAAAGGAACGTCGCCAGACGTGTAAATTTCTTCTTGGACACTTTCTTTTGTGCGGCGATTGCGATGATTGTGTTGGCCCTCCTCGGCATCCTCGGCATCGTTCCCCCTTGGAGCGGCCATGCCAATTCCAAATCCATCCATGACGTGGTTCCGTCGTTCCTCCGACTGCCTCTGAATGGTACAATCCTCGATGAGGGAGAAGGCATACCGGCGGGCGTCTTCGGTATGTGCACCACGGCAGCCCTTCGGCTACAAACTGCAACGCAAATGCGCTCGTTTGTTGTTTGTTCTTGCAGGCCCTCGGGCGCACGGTGAGATCTCATCTGGCAGTTACCGATGCACATAAATGACATGTCTCCTCTGTATGTTGGCAGAGTTCTTCCAGGCTTCTGAAGATCCGTGCGAGGGTTCTTCATCTTGCGACATCCACCATCACCACCACCACCACCACCACCACCACGAGGCCGCCGCGATTCAGAAATGCACGCGGGGGGACCTGGAACAGATTAACGTGCGACACAACATCAGTTCATCAGGACAGCCCGCCATGCAACCATTGTCGCATTTCCTGTGGTGTGTGCGGCTTTTCAGGGCTGGCTCATAGATCTCGATGGGACGATGTACGTGCCAGGTACGTCTGTACGTATACGTTGACGACTCATAGACTATGCGTTGTCGAGTGCTCCCTCGTGATGCATGCAGGCCATCTCATCGAGGGGGCCCAGTCCTTCCACACGTGGCTCATCCAGAAGAAGAAGGTAGGTTGGCGAAGTGCCGGTCAGTTTTCCTTTCCCCGCACCGTGCGACGTGCCTTGCGTATGTGTGTGTGTCTGTCTGTGCCCGCTTTGCGCAGGGGTACGTGTATCTAAGCAATACTCCCGCCAAAGGCGGCGCAGGTAGGCCCTGGCTTGTTTCGGAGACAGAAAAAGGGGCAAGTGGATGGACAAAACCGGCGCATGAGAATGTGTGTGGACCAAATCATTCCTGCAGGGGTGATCGCGAAGTTTAAGTCTGATGCCTACCGCCTCAATCCCCCTCCGGGCGAATCGAATCTAATGTCTATACTGCGGGTCTGATGTGTGTGTCTGTGTTCTGTGTTTTGTGTCAGTCAGTCTGTTAGTCTGTCAGCCAGTCTGATGTGTCGGTCAGTTCGTCTGTCTGTGTGTCTGTTTGTGTGTCTGTGTCTGTATATGTCACGCTTCCCCCAGCAAGTGCCATTGCCAAATACGTCAACGAGGAAGCAAGAGAGGCGCACACATGACATGAACGCACAGGCGACTGGTGCCGGCCGGCAAATGATGCTGGTGACAATGCATGTGAACGTGTAGATCCCCGAGGGCGCTCATATCTGGGCAGTCATTCATTCGGAGAGTTTTGGCAAAACCAAGGACAACTGCGTGAGGCAGATCAACCAGTACGTCCCCAAGGAGAAGCTAGACACTCTCTACATCCGTAAGCAGGCTCCTGCAATCGAGATACACCCGGCGGGTGTATTTCTGTGGCTGGATCTCTCCAACCTTCAGGCACCCATATTTCTCTCGACGAGCTCAACTGGTGGAGCCTCGGCGCTAAGGTCTTTTCGTACACACGCAAGACACGGACTGGACGGACCTGCATGGATTGACGTTGCGTCCCACCCCGCATCAGATGTACCCTGACCTCTTCTATCTGTTCCTCTGCACGTCTTTTCCCAACGACATCGGGGAGGACCCAGTTGACCCCAACCGAGGCAGCCAGTGGCACACACACACACACACACATACACACACACATACACATTCATACGCACATGTACGCAACAATGTGTGTATGTGCAGGCTACCAGGGTCTCTCCACTAATCTGCTCAACGACATGCACTCTGCCAGCCCTCCAGCCGATCCGCAACCCCACCCACGTCACGTGGACAGCTCGCCACCAGCGGCCCCTTCACCCCCACCTCATAACCGCCCTTGTCCATGCTCACCAGCACCTCACGACCGCCACCTCCTGGGCCGGCATTCGTCTACCGACACACCGACACGCTACCACAATGCGTGGGCCATCTCCCCAGACACCCACGACAGCTTCGACTTACAACGCGTAAGTGCTCAAGGGGCCAAACTTGCAATCAGTGATGTTTGTCTCTTGTGGTGATGGTGTGTTAGAGAGAGCTCGCGAGGTACCCCTACGGCCGACACGTCATCGGGCTGTTCGGCTTGGCCACCGACTCGACAAGCACGAGAGAGGCCCGTGAGCTGTTCGCGACCAATTACCCCTTCGTCAGGCTCGACGTGACTGCGGCCGGACTGCGGTGGAGGGGGAGGTTTATACACCACGCACTCGACACGACGAAGCCGTGGGTGAATCGACGGAACAACACACTGATGCGGGTGCTGGGGAAGGAGTGGTGCGACGCGCCGGGCAAGTCGAAAGACTCTGTCGAGATCGACCTGGGGCCGCTCATCAAGGCCGACACTGTGAAGAGCTGGACCAATGCCGAGAGGGCGCCTTTCTGCACGGCTTCAAGAATGACGGCGTCGGCACGCATTTCCAGATCAAGATGGAGATGCGCTGCCCACGGAGTGGCGCCCGTCACCGGCGTCCCGCAGTCGCGCGTCGCGACGGCCGTGATCTGCTTGGGAAGGAGGGATGTGGCATCCGGTTCCTCCCTGGGCAGCTGGAAGACCTGCCGAAGGTGCCTGAGCGGAGAGAAGTGCGTGGGGGAGGGACGAGATGGCGCTCCTGGTTTGCGAGTTGTCGGCCAGGCGGATGGTGTGTGGAGGGGTGCACGGCCGTGGACGTCAATGAGAGTGAGCATGAGGCTTTGAGTAGTGACGAGGAAGATGAGGAAGTGTAGGACCGAGCCTGTGTGTGTGCTTGGCTGGATGGATCGTGGGTGAGCACGGCTGAAGCGGTGGTCGTGCTGCCGTCACACTCCACATGCTGTGACGATGTACAAATGTTTCTCAGGTAATTTCTGTGCCTCAAGCCACCTGACACACAGACCGACCGACAAACACCCTCACTCACTCACTCACACCCAGATGGATGTCGTGTACATCGTCACATACATACGCGTGCAAGGGCAAACAAGGGCCGAAAACAAGGGCAGGGCCACCAATTTCATCAGAGCAAACATGAAAAAGAGTCAGTGCTTTGCTCAGATTGCTGGACGTCGCATACACCGACACATGCACAAATTCCTCCTAAACGGGTGCGTGCGTGCAGAGACACGGGAACTCGAGACTTTGACCACGAAGGAAGCACTCACCCATGTCATGTCTCTTCCTCCTTCCTTGGCTTCCTTCATATAGTGCCAAGCTCATTGTGGCCAACTGCGACACCCTCGACACACATGAGACTCAGAAGGTCAGCAAAGCAGGCGGTACACACGAGACACGCGACAATGCATTGCATCCATCGGCCGTGTTTGCCCCCTCTCACCCGCGCTCCAATCCCTGTCAGGCTTTCCCGACCGTCATACAGCACTTGTACTCCACGGGTGCCCTCGAGGCCTTCCTGCAGAAGTCCACCTACCCCAACTCCCACGGTCGTGTTTTCAATGTCGGCAAGGGCGGCAATATCGGCGACAGGTTTATCATGGCAGCCGGTAGGTTGTGTGCTGTGTGTTGGTTGGTGTCTCATGGATGCGGGCTGCAATCATCGATTCGATTCACGCTGCATGCAGGACACGAGTTGTTGCAGAAGCAGATGGGCGAGATGGGCCTCGACCTCACGCTGAAAAAGGAGAACCTCGCCATGATCGGTACGTAAGTGGGTGGAAAGGTGGCTGGCTTGGTGGACAGCTGGCATCACATCCCGTCTGCTTCACCTGCACGTACGGGTCGATGTGTGGATGGATGGATGGATGGATGGATGCAGGCGACAACTTGAGCACAGACATTGCTGCCGGTGCCAGCTACAACATCAAGAAGATCCTGGTGCTGTCTGGGGTGCACCAGGTGGAGCACATCAAGCATTTCCCCGATGCGCCCGACTGCTGGCTCAACTCAGTCAAAGAAATCCCAGAGATACTCGCCTAATTCACGGGTCAAGTCGAAACAGAGAGGCAGGGACGGCTGCCGGCGTGCTTTCTTTTGGCGGGTTTCTTTTGGTAGTGATGGGAGGTGAAGGGCAAAGCGAAAGACTGACTGCCTGACCGAGGACGTCTGAAGCGATGGGGGTTCAATGTTATTGAATATTGTGGCTCAAGGGTCATGCACGTGTCAGGAAGGCATCGCATCCATCGCGCTGGCAAAGCCCAGTACCGCACATCGGTCGCTTACATGCATGTGTGGATGTAGTAGGAAAAACCACTCTACACAAACTCACACGCACACGCACACGCACACGCACACACATGCCTATCCATCCATCCATCCAGATGCCGTCTCACATCTACACACAGGGGGGAGATATACATACAGACAGACAGACCGACAGACAGACAGACATGCAGTGCGATCGATAAAGGAGTCGACGAACGAACGGATAAAGAGACACCGACCCGACATACGTGGGGGACATGGCAGGCCACCAACGAATGCACTAGCTAATCAATGCTAGCTGCTGTACACCACGCACAGATAAAGGGCCAGATCTGAGATCGATCCCTCACCCACCCC